CAGTCGAAATCCCAACGTGACTGAGTACTACACCTCCAGCATGAACAGAGTTATCACTTAGATAACATAGTAAGGAATTACAGCAGATACGAGAGAACACACTACCCCGTAACGCGGATGGGATAGGGAATATACAGATCGACCGAACGACTCGGTCTGAGGACTAACAGCCCTAAATGAACTGACGCGCTGCTGTATCCACGGCTTAGTACACGTACCGAGCTCTGCGTTTCAGAGCAATAGTCGCCGTGACACGCAGTATTATGAGCATTGCAAATAGAACACCTATGTATAACCCAACGAGATCAGAGTGGATGTCGTTGGTCTCGTTCAGGCGGGTCATATCGAAGCCGAATTCGTTGAAGTAGGCCAAGGAGACACCGTACTTCACGAAACTCACATACTGCAACCATCGTAACCACACTGGTATTTGACTTATAGGAGTAGCTATCCCAGAGAAGATCATCTGAGGGACCATGATCAGCGGCATGAGCTGCATTGCTTGGGCACCAGTGTTAGCTAGAGCACCGAGGAACTGGGCGAAGGATGCCGATACCAAGTTGATGAATAGATTATTCAGGACCCATAAGATCCAACTACCTTGGAAGTTCATCATGAAGTAAGCTATAATGAGCTGGACGATAGACTCTATGAACGCTACCGGTAATTCCAACAGAGTCTGTGAAAGCACGTACGTAATAGAAGAATACATATTGGTGGCGTATTCCCTTACGAAAATGCCACGTTGAGCCGGATACCTCAGAATGGTCGTCTGGGCTGAAGACACAGCAAACATACACGTTATAACCATGCCTCCATAGTAGGACTGGAAGCTCCCACGATTGGCGATCCAGTGCATCTCCGGCTCATCAGCACCAACTTGGAAGAAGACACAGCCCATAAGTAGTCCCATGACAATAGTCATACACAGTTTGACCAGCTGCACTGATGGATTTCTGATGATGTCTCGGAAGTCTCTCTTCAGCAGCTCTCTCAGTTGCACAACCATCGGAGCCACACGTGCCGAGGAATGGACTTCGACCTGTTGAACGGCCTTCCCACGGAGGTCTTCTATCCATGGCATCATCTGCTTCTCGAAATCGGCTTTATAAGCATCAATGAGAACTTCTATGTTATCCCTCGGCTCGGTCTGCACATTATACAGTACAAAATCAGCGGGGTTGTAGCGACTTGAACACTTATAACCACCGTTATCATAGAAGAAGTCGACAAGCCCTTTCCTAGGACCACTGTAGACAATGGAACCCTCCGAGACGAGAATGATATTATCAAACATAGCAAAGATCTCGCTGGATGGCTGATGAACTGTGATCATCACAGGTACTCCATTAGCCGCTAGATCCTTGAGTACCTTCACAGTGGTAGTAGCGGCATAGGAGTCGAGACCAGTGAGAGGCTCGTCCAAGAATATCATCTCTGGTTTGGTGATGAGCTCTACGCCAACCGAAGTCCTCTTCCTCTCACCACCAGAGATACC